AACTTCGTGTAGTTCTGGAAACTCATCTGGTTACTTCTGATCTAAACAAATATTGTCCATGCCTAAGTTTGTCATCATTAAAAAGGGGAAAATTGATGGGTTTTCGATGTCTTAACCTTATGCTTCTTATGTTTTGATGATATAACAAACTTGTCGTGAAGAACCAGATGGAGAACCTTGTCCCACAGGATACACATCTCATGTGAACTTGTCAAATTCGTAAAATCTGCGAATCAATGAACGACCACAATAAGGAACACAATAGGGACCTGATGCCCTGGTCCCTTAGCATTCTCCGACAAAAGCACAAGTCATTGATTGTACGCAATCAATATAAAGGGAAACACAACAGGGACTTGCTCCCTTAGGGTTCTCTGACAGAAGTACAAGTCAAGTGCACAGCTGGAACGTAGTAGAAGAAAGTGACCATCTTATAGAAGAGGAATACAATTAGGAACCGGTCCGTTGGTGTGTCCTGACAGAAGTACAAAGTCCACTATCCAACTGGAACGCAATTGCCCAGAAGTGGCTATGCAGACAGCACAACAGTCACTTCTCACTGGAAAGAAGTACACCAAGAGTTGACATCACTATCTATTATGATATCTTTTGTGATAAAACAACCTGGTGCAAGACACACTTCATTTTGTGCATTCAGTGATATTCTCTCAAGGCAAAAAAAAGGCATTCATCCGGCATTGAAGTCACTGGTGTGTTAAGAACAAGAAGACAACTCCACTAAGGATCAGTTTCTAAACGAGTTTTATGTACATCCATAGTTGAGTTGTAATTTTGTTATTTGTTCGTCATTGTAATTCCTAGTTTGCTTTCTTAGAAGCGTTGTCATAGGAACAAACCATATTCGTAAACTTCAGATTTTCTGTTATGACTAGGGATAGTCATAAGTTAAATTCTTTGTAACTAGAGGAGTTATAGAGTGGCTTGTGGCGGTTGCATCACAAGTGAGTTTTGAAGTATTTGCAATAAGGTGTTTGCAAAGTGGCTTGTAATAGGTAGATTACAAATTAGTAGAGTTAAAAGCCTAAAAGAGTAGGTCGTGGTTTTTTGATCCCCTTGTGTAGGATTTTTCCACGTAGAAAATCTCTTGCCTTCTTTACATTCAGTCTTTACTGCATTCTTCGTATCAATCTCATAGAGGACCAGGTACTCTATTATTTGGTGGACTCACATAAACTAACACATCTTTATCGTACGATCTAAAACATCAAAGAAGGGTGACATTCCTAAATGTCGAAGTAGACTCCTCATTATAGATGTGGTAGACAACATACCGATATAAAGGACTCTACTAGACACGGCTCCGAGACATCCAAGGACACTTTAAAACCTTAGGCTCTGATACCAAGTTTGTCAGGTCCCAAACTCGGGGAGCGCGACCGGCGCTCAACCGAGTGAACCCGTTCAGGCAAGTATGTTAGGTACTTTCTACCCAAACTCACTCATACTTTAAGAAAATCTATATTTTCATTAATTAGAAAATAAAGAGATCATGTATGCAATACCAATTCATCTTCATTTTTTACTTCATTTTAAAGTCTCAAAATACACACACTTTCATAATCTTAAGTGGAATAAGCAATTCAAACACAACATAACTTGGTTGACTTTCCCAGCACCAATATACAACTCACATTATGTCTACGGAGCCTCTAATAGATACAAAAGAGTATTACGATAGTGCCGGCAACAAGGCCCCAACTAAACCTCAAAATACAATACATAAGGAACAAAAGATACATGACCCCAAAATGAAATGGGCTTCACCAAGTCTGTTTGGAAGAGGGTGTACCATTATCACTGATCAATGCTGCCAGCTGTGGAACCAACTGCATCCATTAAAGATGCAGTGCCCCCAGTAAAAGGGACGTTAGTACTGTCGAATAGCACTAGTATGTATACTTAAACACCCTCTCAATAGAATGAATAATAATACAAGGAGGAACAATCATAAAATCAATGAAAACCTCAAACAATACCAAAACATCAAGTTAAGAACCAAATACGTTTTCAAGTAAATTTCCATATTTTTAGGTTGGAGATCCTTAGTACCGATATACCATCGTTCACAATACCATCGCATTTTTAGTTAAGATATCACCCACAATCACAAATTTCAGTTTTAATTTCCAGCACAATCACCACCATGTGTGCGGTATGTCATCCGATCACGACCCATCGGCTAGGCTGTCTCATTTGAGACATCATCCTTTTCTTACAACCATTTCATTTCATATCTTTTCATTCCATTGGCAGTAGTGGCCACAATTATAAAGTCATTCTTGGCACTTAGCCGAATTTCATAATTCAAATTCGTTTTTCACTTTCAAACATCGTCATCATCATTAATAACAACAAGGCTTTTCAATTCAAGACTTTAAATACATGTATGAGCAATTAGGAATCTTAGGAACATAGAGACTTTTCACATAATTTGGCATAACTAACTTCATTCTCGCTTGACATGAAGTCTTAACATTTTTAGCACACATCCCATACTTTGAACACATCCTCAAATAATAATATAGCATGATAAAAGCACTTGGAATACATATTGAACATACATCTTTCAACACAAGCATATTTGGAATAGCCAATTTTATAATGATCAATTCGGTACTTACAAATTACATGAAGACCGTGGAATTCAATTCTAAGAGAAGATTTAGCCAACATACGTCAATTGAGCTTCGTTAAACTCTAAAATGTTCTGGAATTCTTAGCAGCTTCAATCTATTTTAGAAATATAATAAATTGAACCAAAATTAGGAGGATGATCATGGTTGTAGCTCATTTGAGCATTTTTATCAAACACTAGTTGTGCAAATTGATTACAAGGTTCTTCCACAAGATTTTCTTCACTTCAAAACCCAAACTTTAACCACAAACCTTATTGGTACATGCATGTATACATAATACTTTCACACCCATGAATCATACTCCCAAATCATCCATCTTTTTCTCCAAATCTGAAATTGAACACTAAGGTATTGAACCTTACCTCTTAGATGAAGATCTTATGAGATTTCCTTGTTGGATTTCAAAGCATGGACAAGATCTTGATGAACAAATTACTTGAGCTTATTTCTCTCTCTAAAACACTCTCACTTCTCTCTAAATATATTAGATATCCCTTTCAAAAATTAGCCTCAAAGGATTTTAATAAAAATAGGGCCGGGTTGTAATAATAGAAGAATGGACTCTCAAAATTCTGGACCGGGCTACAGACCAAGCTAGGCACGCTCTATAGCGAGCTACAGACCAAGCTTAATGAGCTCTGTAGCGAGCTACAAAACAAGCTTCATGAGCTCATAGCTCACTACAGACCTGGCTTCACGAGCTCTGTAGCGAGGTCCAGCGCGTTACAGACTTGGTTTCGCAAGGGATATAGCATGGTCTAGCACGTTAGAAGCTGGGCGATGCGAGATTGAAATATTTCTACTCCCCAATGCACTGATCAACGCAAAAACTCCAAAAATACCATTCGTTAGCCTACCTTGGCACCATGAAACGTTAGATTACTTAGCAATATTTTTCGGGGCTTTACATTAATCCCCGACTAAATGCGGCCACGAAGTTGCCCAAAAATTGAGAATTTATTACAGTCCTAGGCTTGTATTCAATGTCGAATTCACTAACATTAACTACCCATTTAGCCAAATGACCTGACAACTCGGGCTTATGAAGGACATTCCTTAAGGGAAAGGTTGTCACAACGGCTATTATATGACACTGAAAATAAGGCATAAGCTTTCGAGAGGCAACTACGAGAGCTAAGGCCAGCTTTTCCAGGTGCGGATATCGTGTCTACGCTCCTGATAGTATTTTACTAATATAATAAATGGGAAATTACATACCTTCTTCTTACCGAATCAAAATAGCACTTACCGCTACTTTCGAGACTGCTAGATAAATTAGCATTTGCTCACCTTCTCCCGGTTTTGACAACAGAGAGCTAGATAGGTACCTTTTAGGTCCTTCAGCGTCTGTTGGAATTCCATAGTCCACACGAAGTCATTATTCTTTTATAAAAGTGAATAGAAGTGGTACTTCTCTGAGGACCTTAAGATTAACCTATTTAGAGCTGCCAACCTACCAATCAACCTCTGTACTTCCTTCACACTTGTTATCTGGTCCGAGATATCCTTGGTGGATTTGATTTTGTTGGGGGTTTACTTCAATCACTCTTTGTGAGACTAGAAACCCCAAGAATTTACCAAAGCCAACCCCAAAGGCATATTTCTCCTAGTTGAGCTTCATGTTGTACTTTCTCAGAATGTCAAACTTCTCTTGGAGAAGTTCTAAATGATCTCCTACATTAAGAGGCGTAACTAAAATGTGGTGAATATAAACTTCCATCGTCTTATCTATCTGACTGTAGCTTCAATCATTTGTCGATGTTTGGTAATGGGAAAGAGTCTTTGAGGCACACCTTATTTAAATCCTTATAGTCTACACATATCCTAAATTTGTTTTTCTTTTTAGTCAATACTACTACGTTAGCTAGCCACTCCGGGTACTTTACCTCTTGAATTGAACCTATATTGAGTAATCAGGCTACCTCTTCCTTAACAATCCTATTTATGACCTCTACTATCGGTTGTTTCTTCTACCTTACCGGAGGGAAGTTTGGATCCATGCTCAGTTTCTGGACCGCCGCCTCGAATGGAATACCTTTCATATCTGAATGCGACCAAGCAAAGCAATCAACGTTAGATTTAAGAAAATCTATGAGTTTTAACCTGAGTTCAGGACTCAAACCTATTCCTAAATGGAACTTCCTTTCCAATAATTCTTCGAACAAAGCCACTTGCTCGAGTTCTTATGCAGTTGAATTGGTTGCATCTGTCTCCTCCGGTACATGAAAAGACCTCGGTGCCTGATATAATTCTGATAACTCCTTCTTTTTATCATCTTTAATTGGTATGGGATAAGGCACCAGTTCCTGCAATTACTATTTGTTGGTTTACCTGCCCCTGCTACTAGAAAAGATTATTGCGTTCGTCTCCCTCATTGTCAGTTGGTCTCCTCTTATTTGGTTGATCTCTTCTTGTGTCAAAAACATAGGTCGAGGTCACGACCTTCATCTCGTGTATCCATGGCCTTCTAAGGATAATATTATAACCCATGTCGCCATCTACCACTTCAAATAACGTGGTCTTCTTTACTCCTTCGAGTCGCGTGGGAAACAAAATTTCCCCTCGGGTCATGACACTTGTTAAGTTGAAGCCAGCTAGAAGTTTTGTTGCCCAAATGATGTTTCTGGTAAACGTTGCTTGCTCCAAAACTCTCCATTGAATGATATTGGCTGAAGTTTTTGGATCAACCAAAACATGCTTAATTTTGAAATCTAAACCATTGAGAGAGATTACCAAAGCATCGTTGTGCGGTAGAAGAAGTTCATCAACATCCACCTCTATGAAGGTTATGTCGTCTTCTGAGACTTCTTTTCGGATTCTTTTTCCACGAGTCACTGATTGGATCCGCATAGTCTCGGTTTCTACCATAGTTATTCTTGGTGTGGTCACTTAAGAACTCTATGAGGTGACAATTCTTCAACAACATCACCACCACTTCACGAAGATGTAGGCAATCCCCAAACTGATGGTTGTAAGTCCCATGTAATTCACACTATAGATTAGCATCCCTTTGGATGGGATCCGATCGGATCGGTTTCGGGAACCTAGCTTCTTTAATATTTCTCATGGCCGACACCAATTCTACAAGGATGATATTAAATTTGTAATCGAACAGTCGAGGATACGCTGAATCTTGGACCCTGGCACCTTTTTCTACTACAACGATCTATTACTTTGACCACGATCCATCCTTCTATCAGAATTGAACTTATCCAATGATTGGAATCCTTTATTACCATACCTATTGACCCTCCAGTAAGGTAGATAATGACTTCTAGAAGGTGTCCGATCTATATCAAATTCATTTTTTTGACTTATCTTGATTTCGATCGCGATTCTGTCCTTTGGAAGACACTGAGGAGTAAAGTTGATCATCGTCTATTCAGATCTTTGACTCGTAACGATTTTGAACATCTACCCATGTGGTTGCCTAAAATTTGAGCAAGTTTTCTTTCAATTTAGTGAGGTATCGGAGCTCAATGGGTTTGAGACCCTTTGTAAATTCCTCCGCTGCCCACTCATCCAGGAACTGTTGGTAACAACATCCTTTCTTTATAGAACTGGATCATGAACTCTCACAACAACTAAGTTTCTCCTTGAGATATCCTGAATATGTCCGCCTTCCTTTCCTGGACCTTTCTTGCTCCAACATGAGCTTTGATAAACGAATCTCCAAGCATTTCAAAAGGGTCCATATAATATTCTGGTAAGAGGGAATACCAAGTTAAAGCACCCTTCATAAGGGTTTCGCCAAACTTCTTCAATAAAGCCGATTCGATCTCGTGCTGGGCCAAGTCATTTAACAGTGAAGGTCATGATGTGCTCCTGCAAATCCAAAGTGCCCTCATATTTTTGTATATCTTGCATCTTAAACCTCTTTGGGATCAACTTTGATGCTTAGTTTAAATGGTAACTACGTATATTTCTTTGAAGTTGGTCCCTTTAATATCATTGGTGCTCCCGGGATTAGATCCATCCGAGCGTGAAATTCCTTTGCATTCTAATTCATTCGTCTATTCATCTCTCTCATGAATCTCATGAGCTCGGTTTTAAATTGGTCATTTAAGTTATTGTTCCCGGACGTGCTTCTGGTGCCTCCGGCCTCATCAAAATCGGCCTCCTTTCTTGGAGTATCGTTATCAGTTCTTTGGGCCGTTTGATTTACGGGAATGCTAGGAGGAATCTGGTCCCTTTCATTAGCGTTATTGGAAGCACCTGCTAACGCCTGCTTAAATTCCGTTATCACTCGATCTTGCCTCGAGAGGTGATCCATAATCGCCTTTTGCTGTTCTCTCAAGATTTTGACTGTTTCAACAACATGCTCATCCTCTACATTATCAGGAGTCGGACCCTGCACATGCCAATGACTAACCTTCGTGAATTGGGGTCATTTCATCCCCTTTATTGCACGTCTCGCTGATTGAGTCATCAAGCTGGAACACTTATTCCCGGTCATTGTGTGCTTCAATAATGTAAACATTATTAACATCATTAGCTACCATACATATTCTTTCTTTTGCTCTGGAAGGAATCAAAATTTGTCAATAACATATGAATGGATCAAAATAATTACACAATTATTTATGCCCAACGATGGCGCCAAACTGTTTACCCATAAAACGATACAGTTGAATTTATAGCATGGTTTATAGACAAGCGAATCAATTTGACCCAAAAATAGTAAATAAATAGGAACAAAAGTATGTTTGTCAAATAAAATCAAAGAAGATTACAAGTCTGACTAAGAATATAGCCTTTTCGATGGAAAGAGTGAGAGCAATGCTCAAGAACTAAAACTGAGCGCAATACAAAAGTAGGTTATAGCTTTTTGTGTGCAGAGTATCTATGCAACAATGGATGTTAATCCTCCTATTTATAGCCTTTTTCTGGGAGAATAGATCCCCAAATCAAGATCCCCTTGAATGAGAATAAAACCGACATTGATGGACGTATAGGGGTTAGCTATAAATGCTGATATTCTCTGTAACAACCGCCCATTGAATGATATTCGATGGCAATGCTTTGAATCTTCGTTACCGGCTATTCTGTCTTCGGGGTTCATTCAGCACCAATTGCATACTTACATCCGGTGACAGTTGTTTGCTGACTACGTCCCACCTGTCTTTAGTCTCACTTGTCATTATGTCATTCGCTTAGTTGTCACTAACTAATTTTACACCATACAAACTTGTGGTGTCAATTGCTCTTACTTTTAAATGTGATCAAATGAGTGTTATTATTTTCTCATGAATCTGTTTGTGGATACAAGAAATGGTTATGGAAATTAAAAAAGAGCTTAAAGAATGCAACAATGGACTAAAATCATTTCTTTAGTAGGATGCTAAATTTGTATTTGTTGCGCCGCTAGTGGCCTCAACTCGAAAGATCAGGTCGATCTCGCTGATTGAGGTTGCATTCATTTATCTTATTCAACTTGATGTATGGTACTAGCTAGCCCAAATTTCCATGGCTAGAAAATATGGTTAAACAAAGCAAAATTTGCAAGATAAGATGACACCATTAATCTAGAATCATGAAATGAGCTCTTAAAAAATTGGCAAGCAATTAATGTTCTTTTAAAAGGAAATGGACAACTGAAATATAATATCCTAATCAAAGAATTCCTTTTGAATTCAGAAAATATTATCCTAGAAAGAGTCTAGGGTTTGCTCCCTTGGGTTGATAATGAAGAATGTCTTTTTTTTTAATTCTCGTCGTGTAAAATGGAAAGATTGCTCCCAATAACATCCTCTAACTAGTATGACTCCTCCACCTCAATTTCACGAAAACCACCGGATCAACTAACCTCCAAACTGATGTCATCACCACCTTCTTCTTTCACTAACAGTCCTAACATATCTACAAGTATGAATATTGACATGCAGGATCCATCCTTGACTCACCTCCCTTACAAAAAAACTTATCTACAAACCTTAAACTTAAATAACTTTGCTTCTGTACCATCTATGGTTCCTACATCAATCATTTATCCTTTGGAGAATTCGGATGAGTTGGATACTCCTAATGACCCTTCTATTTTCATACCCTTATCTGTTGAAGAAAAATATAGGATGTAGCAGCCATGACAACATGCAGTCATTATTAGGATTTTTGGTAGAAAAGTTGAGCATCAAATACTTCGACAAAAAATATACGCATTATGGAAACCTACTGAAAATCTCCCTCTAATTGACTTAGGGTCAGATTTTTTTCCACTAAAATTTCAAAAGGAAGAAAACAAAATCCATGCCTTACAGGGTGGCCCTTGGTTTGTTCTAAATCATTTCCTATCCGCTCGTCAATGGGAACCTAAGTTTAAGGCTTCTGAGACCAAATTAACAACCTCTGCTGTTTGGTTACGTTTGCCCGAATTACCTACAAAATATTACGTTTATCAAATTCTGCACAAGTTAGGTCAGAAAATTGGTAAGTTATTATCAGTGGACACTTGCACTGATTCAACTATAAGAGGACAATATGCTAGATTATGTGTGAAAGTACTACTTGATCAGCCTTTAAAGACACTTATATATTGGTAATCATAAACAAATTATATTCTATGAAGGGTTAAATTTACTTTGTATTAACTGTGGTCGCATGGGTCATAATCAAATGGCTTGCAATTACTTTGTCAACATAGATCCTTCCACTGAAAATTCACAAAAGGATCAACACATGGATGTTATTAACTCTAATTCCAATACTTCTACTCCGGCTAATGGAGCATGGAAACTTGTTCAATTTTCGAAAAAATCTAGCCTTAGAAGATCTACTTACACAGATGATCCATTGCCAGTGCTATCCCCAGTGGAGCCAAGGGGGGTAGGTCAGTCAGGTAAGCAAGGGGTGATTAGCCCTAATAATCTTCCTTTTACCAGTTTAACTTTAACTTCGTTAACTAATACTAAAACTACTGGTTCTAAGTTACCCTCCACCCCTAACTCTGTATTAGTTAATAATAAGTATCATACTTTAGTAGATGATTCAACTGAAAATGATACCACTTTATTAAATCCAATAACTAATAATTTGCAACTCTCAAAGACCACTCAAGTGCCTAAGCACTCGGTCCAATCAGGGAAATCTTCAAAACCTACTCCTTCTCAAATATCCAACCCTATCACTATCCATGCAACCAGACACGACAACCTTTCCCACATGCAAAGCATGCCCCAATACCCAACCACACTTTCTTCACCTCCACACGAAAAATATTCAACAACACTACCAAACCCTCTACCTCCTCCTTTGAACATCGAAATTCCTCCATCATTTCAAGATATTGTTGCCATGCAAATAGGCAATAATGAGTCTTCCACTACTCCCATTCAGTCTAATTCACCCTCTTCTTGTCAATCTATTCAACCGTCATCCACATCCATTGGCTTTGTTCCATCTCCACTTAAGACATCACATATAGTCTCTACCAACTTGACTCCTCCACTATCAGAATTTCTCATTGAAGACCATGTTTCCCTTCAACTTTCTCAGTCATCTCCGCCGGCCAAGAGCTCAACCAAGGCAGACCACTCAAAACTTACAACACAATCCCAACTCTGACTCTCACCCACCACCTCATCTGATAATGGAACCAAATATGATAATCTACACGGCCCAAACACCACATGCACCAACTCTCCTAGCATCTTGGCTAGAGGCAGGCTTGCACAACCATGCATTGACCTTCATCATGCAAGTAAATCACCAAGAAGTGACGATTCTAATCAATCACCTAAGGGACTTAGCACAAGTAGTGGCGGAAAGGATCCAATTAGGGACAGACCTCTATGCTCGCTACCATTGGTCCATGATGCAGGCACCCCATCTTGCACCCTACCAACCTCTGCCCCTACCCACTTCATTCTGGG